CATGCCAGTTATATGATGATCACGCTGTACTGCATGGTGACCGTATGTAAAAAAAAAAAGTATACTTTTTTTTTTTCATACTGTCACCAGTCAGTGTCCCTGATCACCGCCATGCCAGTTATATGATGACGCTGTACTGCACTGGTGACCGTATGTAAAAAATAAATGTGAAAATAATTTTTTTTACATTCTTCATTTTCCGAAAGATTATGACAAAAAAATTACAACTTCAAAAAACTCGCCATGCTTCTTATGAAATACGTCGACCTGTCTACTTTGCAAAAAGAGGTCATTTGGGGGATATCTGTACTGTTCTGACATTCTTGGACCTCAAGAAATTAGATTGGCTGTCAGTACTTCAGGATTGATCAATATTCAGATCTATCCCATAGTTTGTGAACTCTATAACTTTCCTACAAACTAAATAATACATCCTAATTTGGGTTATTTTCACCAAAGACATGTAGCAGAATACATCTCGGCCTAAATTTATGAAGAACAATTATTTATTTGCAAACTTTTATAACAGAAACAAAGAAAAATGTGTTTTTTTTCTTCAAAATGTTCAGTCTTTTTTTGTTAATTTAGCAAAACATAAAACCCCAGCGGTGATTAAATACCACCAAAAGAAAGCTCTAGTTGTGTGAAAAAATGATACAAATTTAGTTTGGGTACAATGTTGTATGACCGTGCAATTGTCAAAGTGTGAGAGCGCTGAAACCTGAAAACTGGCCTGGGCAGGAAGGGGGTGAAAGTGCTCGGTATGGAAATGGTTAAAGTGTGACAGCTCTGAAAACTGAAAATTGGCCTGGGCAGAAAGGGGGCTGGAAGTGGCCAGTATTGAAGTGGTTAAATATAAAAATGACATTGTATAAAAATGAATGCACTTGTACAGTTTATTTATGGAATAGACAAGCCGATCACAGGGTCCAGGGGGCCCCTAGGTGGAACAGCTCCTCTTCTCTCTATTGTCAATCTGAGGGGGAGAGGACAAAACTGCACGGAGGGGGTAACAGTCAGTTGTAAAAGATAACTACAGAGTAAGTGTAGTGTGATCTACCCACCGATCCCTACCCACCAATCCTTACCCACCGATCCTTACCCACCGATCCTTACCCACCGATCCCTACCCACCGATCCTTACCCACCGATCCTTACCCACCGATCCCTACCCACCGATCCTTACTCACCGTTCCTTACCCACCGATCCTTACCCACTGATCCCTACCCACCGATCCTTACCCACCGATCCCTACCACCGATCCCTACCCACCGATCCTTACTCACCGATCCCTACCCACCGATCCTTACCCACCGATCCCTACCCACCGATCCCTACCCACCGATCCCTACCCACCGATCCCTACCCACCGATCCTTACCCACCGATCCCTACCCACCGATCCTTACTCACCGATCCTTACCCACCGATCCCTACCCAACGATCCTTTCCCAACGATCCTTACCCACCGATCCCTACCCACCGATCCTTACTCCCTACCCACCCCGATCCTTACTCACCGATCCCTACCCACCGATCCCTACTCACCGATCCTTACCCACCGATCCCGCCACTACAGGCGCATTTCAGGTTACCTACCCCTTCTTTACATTAAGGCAGAACCCAAAACTTTGCAATAGCGGCATGAGAATTGGCAGTTCCCCCCACATTACAGTCAGCGTTTTTTTGATTTTTCCTTAGTCCTGATAGGATTGGGAAGGAGCAGAATTCTAGAATCCCTTCAATCTTTAGTTTATCGTTTCCTGTGCCCCCCATTGGGGAGATTTCATCGCACTTCCTTTTTTGGTGACAACAACCAAAATAGGAAGTGAGAGAGAAAATCTGCCACTGGGACACTGAAAGCAATGAAATGCTCAGATTAAGGGACGGCTGCGAACCATAGTCATCAATTTATTACAATAGGAAAGTATTTGCCTATATAGTACTGTGCGCCTTTCTTACTACTAATGTTTTAAGTATTTTTGTTGCTATTGTATTGCCTGTATACCTACTGGAGGCTTACCCTAACTTTGGTTAGCATTGCAAACAGCGACGGATCTTTTTTAGAGGGTGTTTAGCAGTCAGTAAGGGGGGCACCATATCCCCTGTTTTAATCCTGAAAATGCTGACCCGCCAAGCCATGACCGCGTGCTTTGCATGCAGTTGTGGCCTAATTCACTTGAAAGGGCAGTAGTACCACCCATCAAATGCAACATGCTCTTTAATTTTTGCAAAGATTTGCAGCTGAAGCACGTTTACAGCCCTGAGTGGCTGCATCTTCTTGTGGGTGGTCAGGGGATGGTAAAACCATGGCTTAACTGCCTGCTTCAACCCACCCCCTCTCAGCCACATGTGTGAATGGCCCCTACTTGCTGTCCTTTGGTCACTGACATAGTGGGGGGAGGGGGGATAATCTTCTCAAGGAGGAAAACTTGATGAAAACTCTCAGAGTGGTCCTACCCCCCTGGTGCCCAACTTGTGGCCATTGGCACTTTTTATGCGGCCCTCTGGACTCCTGCAGACGCTAAAATGTGTCTTCTTATTGCTCTTTTATTGCAGTGATTTCTAGCAGTCTCGTGTAATATGTTTCCAGTCAATGACTGTCTCCGGCAGCTCCTGTATCATGTTTGCAGTCTCTGACCATCTCTTGTATCATGTCCGCAGTCTCTGACCATCTCTTGTATCATGTCTGCAGTCTATGACCATCTCTTGTATCATGTCTGCAGTCTCTGACCATCTTTTGTATCATGTCCGCAGTCTCTGACCATCTCCTGTATCATGTCCGCAGTCTCTGACCATCTCTTGTATCATGTCTGCAGTCTCTGACCATCTGTTGTATCAGTCTGCAGTCTTTGTCATCCCTGGTATCACATCTGCAGTCTCTGACCATCTCTTGTATCATGTGTTTGGTCTCTTACCATCTCCTGTATCATGTTTTCAGTCTCTGGTCATCTTTGTGTTATGTCTGCAGTCTGTGACCCAATCTCTTGTATTATGTCTGCAGTCTCTGGCCATCTCTTGTATCATGTCTGCAGTCTCTAACCATCTCTAGTATCATGCCTGCAGTCTCTGGCCATCTCCTCTGCAGTCTCTGACCATCTCTTGTATCATGTCTGCAGTCTCTGACTGTCTCCTATATCATGGCTGCAGTCTCTGACCATCTCCTGCATCATGCTTGCAGTCTCTGGCCAACTTTTGTGTTATGTCTGCTGTCTCTGACCATCTCTTGCATTATGTCTGCAGTCTCTGACCATCTCCTGTATCATGTCTGCAGTCTCTGACCATCTCCTGTATCATGTCTGCAGTCTCTGACCATCTCTTGTATCATGTCTGCAGTCTCTGACCATCTCTTGTATCATGTCTGCAGTCTCTGACCATCTCTTGTATCATGTCTGCAGTCTCTGACCATCTCTTGTATCATGTCTTCAGTCTCTGACCATCTTCTGTCTCATGTCTGCCATCTCTGACCATCTCCTGTATCATGTCTGCAGTCTATGACCATCTCATATATAATGTCTGCAGTCTCTGACCATCTTTTGCATCATGTCTGCAGTCCTGACCATCTCTTGTATCATGCCTGCAGTCTCTGACCATCTCTTGTATCATGCCTGCAGTCTCTGACCATCTTTTGCATCATGTCTGCAGTCTCTGACCATCTCCTGTATCGTGTTTGCAGTCTCTGACCATCTCTTGTATCATGTCTGCAGTCTCTGACCATCTCTTGTATCATGTCTGCAGTCTCTGACCATCTCTTGTGTCATATTTGCAGTCTGTGATCATCTCCTGTACCATTCCCTTAGTTTTGGCTAAATCCTTGTATGTCTGCTGTCTCTGATACTGAATATTCACTGAATTCTAAATGCATCTCTTTGGTGATGTTGCGGGTCACACTTAAGGCCCCCCCATGTGTGCAGTCTCTGACCATCTGTTGTATCATGTCTGCAGTCTCTGACCATCTTTTGACCATGTCTGCAGTCTGTGACCATCTTGTATCATGTCTGCAGTCTCTGACCATCTTTTGTATCATGTCTGCAGTCTTTGACCATCTCCTGTATCATGTCTGCAGTCTCTGACCATCTCTTGTATCATATGTCTGCAGTCTCTGACCATCTCCTGTATCATGTTCTGCAGTCTCTGACCATCTTTGTATCATATCTGCAGTCTCTGACCATCTCTTGTATCATGTTTGCAGTCTCTGACCATCTTTTGCATCATGTCTGCAGTCTCTGACCATCTCTTGTGTCATATTTCCAGTCTGTAATCATCTCCTGTACAATTCCCTTAGTTTTGGCTAAATCCTTGTATGTCTGCTGTCTCTGATACTGAATATTCACTGAATTCTAAATGCATCTCTTTGGTGATGTTGCGGGTCACACATAAGGCCCCCCATTTCAAGAAAGTTGACCACCACTGCTCTAACCCATTCTCACCCTGTATATAAAGAAATATAAATAAGTACTGTTTGGGGTGACACTTTAAACAAGAAAAGCAAATTCCCTAAGAGAAAAGAAAAAAGAAAGCAGACAGGAAGTTCGGCTGCCTGGAGTAAATCTTTTTAAATATTGTAGCTGGCAAAGTTCATAAAATATTAAAGCGGTGGTAGCGTGTTTGCTGACCTGGAAAGGAAACGGTATGAACTAGACAAAATACTTCTCACACTACAGGCTTGATTCTGGAGAGGCTGGAGAGTAATCCAACATGTCTGTATTGTGATATATTCCTTATAATAAAGAGCCATGACCAGGGGCAGACTGACAACTCATGGGGCCCCCCGGGCAATAGGGAATCATGGGGCCCTTGTGTCCTTGCCCAAACTCAAAAAAGCCTATGAAAAAGGTACCAGGGGCATCTCATGGGGCCTCCTACTGACCCCGGGCCCTTGGGCAGTGCCTGAGTTTCCAAATGGTCAGTCCACCCCTGGCCATGACAGACAAAAACAGATATTGCTCAATTATCAGAATGCAGGAAATACTGCAACTGTGCTAAAGACTGAATGACCACTCAATACACTTTAACCACTTGCAGTCCGGACCAGGGGCGGACTGACCATTTGGAAACTCGCGGGCCCAGGGGGCCGGGGTCAGTAGGGGGCCCCATGAGATGCCCCTGGTACCTTTTTCATAGGCTTTTTTGAGTTTGGGCAAGGACACAGGGGCCCCATGATCCCCTATTGCCCGGGGGCCCCATGAGTTGTCAGTCCGCCCCTGGTCCGGACACATTCACCCCCTTCCTGTCCAGGCCAGTTTTCAGCTTTCAATTACCTCTCCCCTGACACGTGCTACCCTGATGGTTTGGGACAGAATGAATGGGACTGGGTTGTATGCTCCTGGGACTTCTCCACTGGCCCTGTTAGGGGGTTATCCATGGTTTTCCCCAGGGGAGGATATTAGATTTTTCCCTTTTTGGGGTGCTGATGGGGACTTTTCCTGTGCTAACTTTGCTCATGAGGGCGTCCTTTTATCCCTTCCTATGTTGCTTTCTGAACATGGAACTTTTCCTTTTGCTGCATGGTGGCACCGCCAATTGAATTATTTTTTTTATGTCTTTGTTCCCCAGGCTTCGTTCTAGACAGACCCTTACACTGTATGAGCGTATGTGTACCGCTCTTCCTGATTCTAAACATCTATTATCCCAAATGTATAAACTGGTGTTGAGCGAGCATTCCATATCAGCTCCATATTTTTTGAGGGAATGGGAGAAACAACTCGGCCTTGAATTTTCCCCTCAGCAGATACATAGGATTCTTAAAATGACACATTCTTAATCTATCAGCTCCAGTGTTCAGGAATCCTCTTATAAATTTCTTACTCGATGGTATCGGACCCTGTCCCGTCTAGCTCAAATTTTCCCTACTGTTAGTCCCCTCTGTTGGAGAGGCTGTGGTCATCGAGGTACCTTTCTCCATCTCTGGTGGACCTGCCCTAAAGTTGCGCCCTTTTGGGCTGCAATTTTCCCATGGATACAGAAACTGACATTGAGCCCTCTGGAGTAATCTCCCTTCTGTTTACTTTTTCATGTGACTTCAATCTCTATGAAGGCTTACAGGCGTAGTGTCACACCCCATCTTCTGAATGCAGCCAGATCTTTGGTCCCTAGGTTCTGGAAACAATCTGAATGCCCTACGCTTTCGGATTGGAAACGGAAAGTGGATAAAATAATTGATGCCGAGCGTTGGGTCCACCTGGTTAGAGGTCAGGGGGAGAAATTTAAAGATACTTGTTTTACTCCTCTGAAATGCCAGATGCATGAGACTTCTTGGGTAGCTTCTCTGTTTGGTGTTCACAATTTAAATGGGTACTGTCACGATCGCCCGATCGCCACCCTCAACATGCGGCAATCGCACGACCGCGACCAACAATACGTCACGCCCGCGGCGTCAGACCCCAGACCTTCTCACCAAACTCATGACCGCAGGACCGGCCGATCTAAAACCGCGATGTGACGCGTGTAACAATGCCACACTCAGCTGCGCCCTGCACAATGATTGTCCAGCTAATGGAATAAAATCGGTGCCTGCAGTCTGAATGCGCTTGTTACTGGGTCGGGTTAATTACGCAACTAACTAACCCTTTCACACTGCCACCACCTTCTTTTGTACAGAGGAAAAGGAAACTCTCTTTATCCAATATACACTGTAATGGTTGAAAAGTCGCCTGTCCAATACGGTCACTGCAGGCCGATTGGTCAGAGGATTAAACAAACACAGTAGTGTCTCTTCAAAAGGCAGGAATTCATAAATTGCAATTAATCGCTTTAGAAACAGTTTCACACTTTCAGAAAGGAAGATTTATTACTAAAAGAGTCAAACAGGTGCAATAAAATATTTACAAAGAAAATGTAACTAAGATATATATTTATAAATAAAAATAGAAAACAGCCCAGCACAGCAAAGAGATAACAGGGAGAAGTTAAAAGATTAAGTTACTTGCCATGTTCAACCTTAAGGTAAGCAGATCCAAGTTGCAGAACGAAGGGTCTTTGATCTCCTGCTGTTACGATGTTAAAATGAGGAGATCCCTTTTGCTTATTTTTAGGCTTGCCAGCCTGTCTTTTAAGGTCCCCCTGCAGGGGGGGTGGCTCTGAGTACTGGCCAATACCCTGTTTTGGGCGGGATCGTCGGATGGGCTCTGCATTAAAACTGACAACTTCATAATCCATGATATGAAACATAGGTGACAGCTGACCTGAGGAATGTTCATTTAACTTCTGTCACCTGGCTGGTAGGGTTTATGAGGTTCCAACTTCTTTCAAGTCCAGGGAAAAAATCTTATCTTGGTTAGGAGGTGTGATTTTACACAGGCCTTGGGACAGAGTGTCTGCTGTCTCTATGGGGGGGATTTGTAGCGCTGGGCCCCCTGCTGCTCCAGCCTGCCAGCAACTTTTAACACTTACACATCTGTCCCTGTGCCTCTCAGGAAGGGAGGGGGTACGGAATAAAGGATTGAGGAATACTTCTAATAAAAAAGGGGAACTCCACGTCCATCTCTGATGAGCAAGTTTGCTACAGGTAGGTACACATAGGTATTTCCTGTTGCTATTTGGTCCATACTGCCTCTGCGGAACTAATTTACTGGATGTTTTTGGAAGTCTAGTATTGTGTGGGGTTTTTTTTTTCTCTTTTCTTCCTATTTCTTTCTTTTCATTTATTTGTTTGAGTTACTGGAAATTCTAAGTGTCATGGATATTCCGTTTATGCGCAATTATGGTCAAAAAGTTTGTTTACCTCTGTTGTTATATGGTTTTTTTTTTTATTATTTATTACTTCTTTGTCAGAGTAAAGTATATCTGCTGACTTATTGTCTATTCTGTGTCACCGGAAAATGTTAATAAAGCTTGATTATAAAAAAAAGAAAATGAATTTGAATTAGAAAATGTATTTGAATGTGAAAATTAATTCAAAACAGAATTCGAATTTGAAATAGAAACATATTATAATAAAAACAGTGTGGTATAAAAGTGAAATACGATCATTCCTACTTAGGCTGCTGTTACACTGCTCCTTTGCAAAAAAAATGGCAAAAACACATGCATTTTAGCTGTGTTTTTGCCATGTTTTTGCTGTGGTGCATTGCTTTTTTTGATAGAGTAGAATAGAGTAAAATCGAATAGAATAGAAAAATATAGAATAGAATAAAACAAAATAGAATAGAACAGAATATAAGAACATATAGAATATAACAGAATAGAATAAAGCAGAAGAGTATATAAAATGAATAGAATAAAACAGAGGAGCATAGAAAAAGAATAGATTAAAACAGAATAGAATTGAATAGAATAAAACAAAATAGAACAGAATAGATTAGAATAGAACATAATTAAACAGAATTAAACAGAATAGAATAAAAAACAAAATATAATATTTTCTGAAAGCAGACGCTCTAGAGAATAAAATAGTGGTAGCTCCAATTTTTTTATGTCACATGATTTTACCGCAATAGTCTAGGAAAATGCAAAATTTCAGTAAAAAACACACTAGTTAATTTTAGGGCACAAAAACTCAATAAATTACCAATTTTCTGGCAAACTTTAAAAGAGGAGGCCGCACAAGTAAATAGATACCAAGTAAATAGATACCCAATGAGTACATGTCAATTTTATATTTGCGCACGCCCGTGAAATGGAAATATACTTCAGTACCATATCTTTCTATAGGCAGAAGAACATAGATAAAGAATAGAATTGAAGAGAATAAAACAAAATAGAACAGAATAGAATTGAATAGAATAGAATAGAATGAATATAGCCATCTTTCAAAATGTTAATAATTTTTAAATCGATTTGAAAATAACTACTGAGTCTGAATATACGAAAGAAATCAAGATATTACAAAATAAATTCCGAAAACAAATCATTCTAACATAACAAATATGACAAAATGAACTTATTAACTTAACGAATCTGAAACTATCTCAATCTTATTGAACCCCTGAATAAATCACCAACCAGGGGCAGACTGACCATTTGGAAACGAGGGGCCCGGGATCAGTAGGGGGCCCCATGAGATGCCCCTGGTACCTTTTTCATAGGCTTTTTTGAGTTTGGGAATAAAAAAGGACACAGGGGCCCCATGATTCCCTATTGCCTGGGGGCCCCATGAGTTGTCAGTCCGCCCCTGGTCAGAACACCAATTACAAGCCAGATCTTAGTGAAACTCTTATGTTGTAATCTAGAAAAAAAAACATGAGGTTCCTCTAAAACCTTGTGGAATATGTATAGAAAGGGAAAGGCGCTTATGAACTTGTTGAATCAACATGGATACTGAAAGGCAAAGATCTGCAAAATGCGCTTTGAATTAAGAGTTTAAAACTGCTGATTACTAAGACTTCAATCAGTTCTTAATAGGAAAGGTTAAAGTTGACAGAATGAATGCCTGGAGGGCTGAGCCACAGAATTACGATAACTGCTATCGCTAGATATAATAATTCAAATGAAGTGAAAGGCTGAGAAAGATTAAAGTCATTTTCCTAGGCTGAGTATTGTCCGTGAGGAGGGGTGTGGAGATCAGAACCGGCCTCAAAAGAAAACAAACAGGAAAGGAACAATGATTCTATGGGCCATATCTATGGAGCAGGAATAACTGAGTCTCCAAACATTCACTGATTATTTGTTACTGCTGGGGGATTCACCACTGCTCCTAACTTTTATTGGGAAACCTAGGTCAGACGTTGGTACCCAAGGTGGAGTAGATGCACAGAGAGACCAAGGAATGTGGCTCGATGTATTTGAAGAAGAATACGCAACAAATGACATTTGGTTGTTCGCAGCAAGGAGTTGTCTTACAGTTCCAACAAGGTGGCAACAAGGCCTAAATACCCGGACAACTGCAGTACAACAGCTCTTCACAGTAAGGTTTCTCTATGCTGGAGAAGGCACATGGGCAAGCTTACGATACCAGACAGCATCTGATGAAGTTGACAGCTGATAGGCAGAATGGTGGCAAGAGCACTCTAGAGCCTGATAGAGTTCCTAAACTCGGATCCTACGGAGTATACTAAATCAGTGAAATCAGTTGTGAGGTCCCTACTTCATAATGTCCCTCTTCCACTGAAATCTTTCCCTGCACTAGACACATTGTCCCTCACCTGGGAGTTCCTGTCCCTACCATAGCCACTACACAAAATCTGCACCAACTACAGTGAGACCGTGCTATTTATTAGCATTGCCCTTACTAAAGATGGCTGTGGAGGTCATTCAGCGTATCAGCATCCAATCAGATGGCTACTCCACTGAAGACTATAGAGGCCTCAGAGGAATGAAAAGCTCCTCTTAAGCTCCATCCCCTCTACATAGCAGCTGCCAAAACAACACCACCTACAGCAGGGAGGCTAACCTGCACCTGCCTACAAGTCATAGTAAGGACCCTTCCACAAGGAGTCTGCTTGCTCAGCAGGGAATCTGTCCATGATCCCCAATGAGCAAGGGGGTGGCTGTTCCGTGTCCGCTCTGCTTATGCAGATTATGGATGTTTTTGTCAGCTGGACTTTGGCTTCAAGAAAAAAGCACAAAGCAGAGGGTCAGTTCCACTAGGTGGGTGCCACCTAACTTGAGAAATCCAAATTAGAACTAAGATAGAGCGCCAGACAATCATATCAAGTGTCTGTAGAGCCTTATTATTGACTATGAAAGGAAGATGGCTAGACAAGCAATATTCAACACTTTCTGGGGCCAAAATTTCCCTTTTCATCGGGGCTTTGGGTTTTATACCAGACTTCCTATATGGACTATCGAACCCTCTCCTAGAAGGCCTCTTCAATGGCTTGGAGTTTAAGAAGAGATTAAATCAAAATACAGCCTAACATCTGGAGGTTAGAAGTGGAAGTGAAAAGAGAGCTGAAAGCAGCCTGAGAGCTGGATTTTGGACCTGGTTTTGTGTGCTGCAAATTAAATCAAAATGACGAGGTTGTAGCTGACTTTGAGGCCAAGGCTGAAGCAAAGCTGAAATCAGATTGAAGCCTAAGTTAAAGTTCTAAAGTTATTGCTGAAACAGACCTAAAATTCGATATGAACCTGAGCTCCAGAGTCTGGGGGCTGGCTCTGTGGCCTAGAGTTGAAGCAGAGCTGAAGTCTGAAAGGAAAACCTTACCTTCGAAAGTTGTATCTGGTTTTGTTATCGTGAGATGAAGGAGAGCTGAAAGTAGAATGGAGCCTAGACTCTAGAGATTACAGCTGGCTCCATGGCCTAGAGTTTAAGCAAAGCTGGAAATCGAATAGAGCCCAAGTTCCAGAGATTAGAGCTGGCTCTGTGGCTTGGGGCTAAAGCAGAGTTTAAATGAAAAAGGAGCCTATGTCTCTTAGATCGGAGTTGGCTTTTTGGCCTAGAGATGAAGTGGATCTCAAATTAGAATGGAGTCTGAGCTCCTGAGGTTGGAGTTGGCTCTGTGGCATTAGAGCTTATTAGAATGGAACCTAAAAATAAGTGTAGTGCTCAGGGGCGGACTGACAACTCATGGGGCCCCTGGGCAATAGGGGATCATGGGGCCCCTGTGTCCTTGCCCGAACTCAAAAAAGCCTATGGAAAAGGTACCAGGGGCATCTCGTGGGGCCCTCTACTGACCCCGGGCCCTCGGGCAGTGCCCGAGTTTCCAAATGGTCAGTCCGCCCCTGGCAGTGCTACTTCTGTATGAGCCACAGGAACACTGTCCAGGTCTTTCCCAAAAGCTTTGCCCAGGCAGGTACATAGGCTCATTCACACGTCTCTTGACCAGCCTAGGGGTGTTATTTTTGTTTTTATTTTTGGCGAACTTGGATAGTGTTGAGGTAATTAGGTGGGATACTCGAGAAACAATAAATATGTAGAGCTGATGACTTTAGGTATTGTTTCGGATAAGCTATGGTGTTGTCCATCCTTGAAACAAACAGTAGACTTCAGCTTTAAGACAGCAGTAGTAGTAGTGGTAGCAAACTAGAGCAAAGTCCCTTCAAGTAAGAGATTAAGTGGACAAAGCTCTTCGAAACACCAGCCAGAGTCCCATTTAGCTAGACCCGCAGCTGACTCACTAATACCAGAGGGGTTTTAGCAGCACAAAGTCTCTAAGATCCTTTCAGGGGTGTCTGTACTCACATAGCCCAAGGATAAACATTGCCTTCCTCTGTGATACCAGACCAAATCTTCAGTAGACAGCCCTTCAGTAAGCTCTAACAGCATTCAGGCTCTCAGGTCACCCACCTGAGACTGCACGGCAGCAGTTGCCTGGGAGGTCAGCATGCCCCCTCCAGGCTGGACCAATCCTATACAGGTAAAGACCCAGAACTCAGTGTGATCACTGAATATATATACCGTTACCCAGCATGCTGCCAGAGCCTCTCTCTATCTGGGATAAGCCAGGGTTGTATCATTATTCATGCTGCCATCTGCATAGCTCCACACCTATTATCCAGAAACTTCTCAAGCTTTCTGGATGCAGAGGGAGCTATCAGACTGGCTGCAGCTGATCACACTGAGCAGACCTAACTAGCAGAAAACAGCATCACTGCTTACAGTGTGCAGGTTATGCTTTTACCTATCAACAATTACAACCACACTGACTACAGTGACAACTAAATTTACCTATCAAAACACAACTAAATCTTATCTATCTACGCCTAGCACCTATCTAGAGGGTGCTGCTGTACATCAGGAAAGATAGCAGAGCTGGCTGACCCAGTACAGCAACTCCAAAGCATTGGCAATCCTAATACTAACCCAACCATTCTGGCATAAATGTAGCCATTGATGACAAACCTGCAAAAGAACAAACGGTCACAAAAAGGAAGACCGTAAAAAGAAACATGTCCAGTAAAAACGTAAAAAAAAAACTTTTTAGGCTTCTATGACAATCTGAGGTTCCATTAGATGGATTTTCATTTTCTGCCCTTTGCTAATGGTTTCACCAGGAAGGAAGGTAAGGAAAAGCTAATACAAGGATACAGACAGCAATAAAAACTTGATGGGGGTCTCACCCTACTTCTATAAACTACTAAATAATAACAATGATAATAATAATATTTAAAAAATGAGTTGCTGTCTGTGTAACTTGCAGAATTATCTTTCATTTATGTCAGGGATACTGTTGTAACTAGATGACTAAAAAAAAAGAAAAAAAAATGTTTTGCTGGATATACACTTTAAACCTGCAGAAGAAATTATTTTCTGGTATACAATATGTCACGATAACTACAAAAAATGAATCCATGTTAAAAAAAGAAAAAAAAACACACACAATAGTTTCCTCTAAAAATCACTGGCAGGTTTTACAAATGCAGTCTTTTCTCTCGGAGGTGACATAATTAGGTGCTGCTTGGTTTATTCCCCCGTGACTCCCTACCTTTTAATCATCTGATGTTGTGGCAGAATATACACTGGAATGAAAACTCGGAAGAGGAGGTTAGTGCAGGAGGAGAAATTGATTATGACAGATGTGTGATGTTTCAAAGTCAATATGACCGAATTCCCTTATCGCTTAAAAGAAAACAATCACTTCTAGAGTCTGTTTGAATAATCCAGAGAAGGTTTTCTATTTAATAATATGATGGCACGCAGCGTCTTGATTCCATAAATCATTTTTTTTTTAACAGGAAGAGAGATGGACAAGAATGCATTTGGTATAAATGAAACCTGAACTCCAGGTAGATGTAATAAAACACAGTAAGCTAGTGTTGTATTCCCTAAAAATTGTTACATTTATTTTTACATAGAACTAGTTAGTATGTGTCAGGCTGGGAAATGGAAAGACAATAAACGTTGTTATTTGGCTTAAGAGGAACGTGTCTGTGAAGTGTAGCACCCTCCTAGTTAGCTAAGGGGAGTTAGCCAATTAGTTTTTCAGTTAGAAGGCTGAGTAGCAGCCTGGGCAGGGGCGGACTGACAACTCATGGGGCCCCCGGGCAATAGGGGATCATGGGGCCCCTGTGTCCTTTCCCAAACTCAAAAAAGCTTATGAAAAAGGTACCAGGGGCATCTCATGGGGCCCTCTACTGACCCCGGGCCCTCGGGCAGTGCCCGAGTTTCCAAATGGTCAGTCCGCCTCTGAGCCTGGGTAATAGTTGGAGGGGTGAGATTTGGGTCAGGGCTAAGAGGCTCTGCAGACCAGCTCACTGATGCCTCCCCTGATATAGA